GTGTGTGTGTGTGTGTGTGTGTGTGTGTGTGTGTGTGTGTGTGTGTGTGTGTGTGTGTAGTCATTGACTTTCAACCTGGTTTCAGGACACAAACAAAAACTGTGACACAAGAGTGATATCACTTGACTTCTTTGACTTTGAAAGTTTACAGTAAATGTGATGGCTTTACACCAGTCCCTGAAATGGGGTGGGGTGATGTCATTGAGAAAAACGTGCCTGTCTGCCCTTACATCTGTCTAGAGATGGAGATAGATGTCTAATTTAACACAAATTTAATGGAGTGGTGATTTGTGACTCAGCATTGAACCCTCTGAACCCTCGTTCACTTACTGAGATAAAAAAAACAATAAATTTTATATCTATCTTCTCTCATAATTCAACAGCAGGTGTGACTTTTATTCAGTCCAGCTCTAGAACAAAAATCAAGATGCAGACACACATACACACRTGCATGCTCAACACCTGAGATCAGAACCGTGTTAATTGACCAGATTAGTAAAACAAAAGATGTTGAAATATAATGATTATCGCTTGAAAATAAAAAATAAAAACTTCAACATACAGGCTACGAAACAAAAGTAAAGGAATCAAAACAAACTGAGCTTTTAGCACAGTTAATTTGATGATTGCATTAATTAACAAGTCCATCGTTTAACCCACCAACCAACAAAGGTCCATCCTACCTCCCTTAACTCCAATAATTTCTTCCTAGCATGTCCTGATTGTCTTCAGTTAGCATGTTAGCAGCATGGCTATCTGTCTCCTTAACTAATAATCATATTTAAATAACAGGCCATTAATAAGTGACCTAAAAATGTGTATTTCTTGAACGACTGAGTATGGATTATTTTTACACCTGTATAGGTTTACAATTTTTAATGTCAGACTGCACAAATGTGTGTTAAAATAAAGGACTTAATCCAGTCATTCTTTGTTTCTTTTTATTTCTCTAAAACAGTTATGAGTTATTCATGGATTTTACACAGAAACACACTTTTAAATGACTGAACAATTCCTTTTAGTAACAAAATCATTTTGTACCATTATTTCGTTCAGTTCCATCAGAACAGTACAGTAACAGTACAGTTGAGAATTAAGAGTAGGTAAACATTTGTACCTTTGCGTGACAAAGTATGTGCTGGTGTTTATTCTCTCATACTTCTGTATATACTGAAAGCAGCTGACTGCTGATTGTGCCACAAGTCCTTCAGTCAGACAGTTAATTCTGATCAGTAAAAACACTGAACATGCTCTCACTTCTTTCAGGCACAGCAGAATCATAACATTTGTGGTGTTTCTCTTTTGACATTTAACAGACCACAAGTCAGGGAACAGCTCCCTGGACACTCTACTGGCTCTGCTGCAGGCAGAGGGAGCCAAAATAGAAGAAGAGACTGAGGTAAGCTATCTCATTGGATAACCTCATGCGTCCTGAGTAATTGATACCTGTATTTCCWGCTGTTGGATTTCACAGGACCTTCATTACTCACATCCAGAACCCTTGTCGGGTAGCTACAGTGCTGTGAAAAAGTTTTCATTCCTTTACAGATTTTTTCTGTTCTTTTTCTTTTGTCTCTTACATGTTTCAGATCATCAGACAAACATGACCTGAGTAAATACAAAATGCAGTTTTTAAATGATGATTTTTTTTATTAAAGGGGGAAAAAACTATTCAAACCAATCTATAGTCCTATGTGAAAAAGGAATTTCCCCCTGAACCCAGTGACATGTTGTCACTCAGAGGCAACAACTTCAATCAAATGTTTGCAATAACAGACAGGGCGTCATTCCTGTAGCTGTGGAGGAATGYTGCTGCTGTGTCTCAGTACCCCAGTGTTCACAACCTTTTTAGACTTGGGTACCCCTAAACTATTTTGTCATACCCCTAGTACCCCCTGAGTCAAACGTCATGACGATTCTCCAAAACTATAATGTACAACAACTGATTATTAAATGAAAATTATTTACTTTTTATTTTATTTTTTATTTATTTAGAAATTTATTCATTTTATTTGTAAAAATTATATACACAACAAAGAACAAATAAAATGTTCCAGCTATGAATGTGGAAGTAGGTTTGAGATTAATCTCAAATGATCCATAGCTGTTTGTGTGATTTAATTTCTTGCTCTTCCTGTCCTGGTGCTATTTCCACCTCTGTGACTTGTTTTGGCTCAGAGCTCTGTGTTGATTCAGCCAGGAGAGGTTTCTTTCTCTGCTCCCTAAAGCTTATTTTACTTCTGCCAACAGAACATGGCTGACTCTTTCCTGGATGGTGATGTAACCTTGGACGTCTTTATCGATGCCTACCAAAACAACAGAAAGCTGGCCCATCTAAGGCGAGTGAAGATCGAGAAGCTGCAAGAAATGGTGCTGAAGGGCCAGCGGCTCCCTCAAGTGCCGCTCTCTTCCACCCGATCTCAGGACGTGTCAGCTGCAACGTCCCTGCTGACCGACGGCAGTGACAACGCTTCTCCTCTCAGCCAGCCCAAAAGAAAGCCACCGCCTCCTCCATCTCAACCAGCCCCTGTTCTGAATCCATCTCCAACCCCAGCCTCGGTTCCCCAGGCTCCTGTTTTCTTCTCTGCATCACCGTACCCACCAATTCCTCCCAGAACAGGCCAGCCCTTCCCCAGCGTTTCCTCTGGATATCCCAACCACTACCTCTCCCAGTACCCGCCTGCTCTGCCTCAGAGGCCCTCACCTCGTATTGCCCCACAACCTGGCTTCATTCTGCAGTAAATTAAAAGAAAGAAAAAATGATTTTTGGGTCTTTGTCACTACTGGAACTCCTTTGAGAACAAGTTTTCAATATTATCTGCCTTCTTGGATTTTGACCAATCACAACACAAGAAAGCAGACCTTCACTGGCTGGTCTGGTCACATTCAGCTGAGGCAGATCTCCAAAACCCTCTGGGGATTCATGCTCACCACTACCTTGCACCAACCCTCCCAACAAAATAAACAAGGTAGATGAGATGGCCTTCAAAATCTGGCTCAGCCAGAGTTCCTTTAGCAGAAGGAGGCTCCATCCCCATCTACAGGCTGCTGCTGSTGACGTAAGCACCAGTCTGTGGATCACAGAGCTGGGACTTGTCACTCATCAGCACTTTAAGTCTGCCAGTCTTTTCCCTCTTTCTAACATGTTCAAGTTTATTTTTTGGGAAACCTAAAGTTCTTTTGAAAAGGATTTGAAATCCTCGTGCTTATTCACAGCATACTAATTTATATGCAAGCAAGAAGAGACCCAGGTTACTGTGCAGACGTCGTTTCCCAGAAAAGATTCAGGCAAAAACTGCTTATATGCTGTGATTTCTTTAAAGAAAAAGAAAAAAAGAAAATTCCCACGGTACTTAGTAATATTTGAATTTCAGCATCATTTACTGATTTAGTACTAATGGAGTTCTAATAATCTTATCCAGGATAGACTGACTAACGTGTATAAAGGAGGTCTTTGGTTGGTCTGGGTCATGGTGGCTGACTGGTTTATCTCTGGGCAGGAGTCAGAAAGGATCAGGCCTGTAGAGCCTGTGCTATAAATGAAGGATTACACTCCAGGTGTCTGTTGTTCTGCAGCACTCCTTTTATGATGTCTGTTGTATTTAAACACACTCAGCTGATGGAAATCTGATGCCAACAGTTCTTTGGATCACATACATGCTGTATGTTTCTGTTCAGTTACCTGCCACACTGAGCGCCAAAGACTTACCACGAGTCTGTTTTCAGTTCTTTCTAAAGGTTTTTTGTTTTGTGTGTTTGTGTGTATAAGTGAAGCATTTAGTACAAACATCATTGTTACCAAACATATCTGTGATGTCAGAACACTCTTTGTAAACATACAAGCCATAAATCTGAGAGGAGCACCCTGGCTTTGTTAGGAGAACTTGAACTTTAGTGTGATATTAAAAATATTTTTCCTCCCTCTCTCCTTTCTGGCTGCTGTGCACTGTTGAAGAGCCACGAGTGCCTACACTGAAAAATCACGTTCATCACGTTCTGCTGAAGAATTCATGTGTTTCTGCGCTCAGCTTTAGGTGTTAGAGCCTCCTCCACCATGATTCATTAGATTGGCATTTTCTCTTTTCTTCCTCCTACTGTATTTTCTGTCCCCTCCTCTGGGAGAAAGAAGTCCAATCAGCCTGATCAGCATGGCTTCTCCAGTAGCAGGGAGACAATACGCAACATACCAGAGACCAGGAACACCCCCGGGCTCCATGCTGTGCAGTGTGTGTGCTCGTCTTCCATTCCCTGAGCAGAACGTTTTATATTTTCACCATGATGTTCAACTTTTAATTTAGACGTTCTTAGAAAAATAACAAGGCTCTGAAATGATTTGCTTCATATCAGTGATGGTTCGCCTCAAAGACTGACTCATCGCAACAAATAGGAAATACTACAACAATAAATATAGGTTTCTCATTGAACCAGCATTTCTAACTGCATGGCCTTTGCTTTTAGTTCAGTTAAAAAAAATCCTCTTAAATGTTTGCTGCTTTTTTTTTACACTCATCTTCCCCGGAATCCATGGTTTTTATGTGGTTGGTGATAATTCTAGTGTAATGTTGTAGGTATTTACTTTGAAAGAATGTTTAAGTTGAATTTAATGCYATTTTCAAGTTCAATAAATGTTGTTTTTTGTATCATTTTTTTCAATGAGATACTTTGAACACATTGAGCTCTCATGTCTTGTACAATGTGGGCTTATTGAACAGGAACAGTTTGAAATGCGCAGATGCAGTCAGAAGTTTACATCCACTCATCGTCGACATGACTGRCATTAATTCTGGTCTTTTAGTTATTTGTTTGCTCCTCCAGGGCAGAGTGATGACATGACACATTTTTGTTTATTGTTACCTCCTGCATGTGAACCGGGGGTCACGTTGTTTACATGCTGTTTATTTTTTAACTTTTTTCAAGATTTTTGGTCAGTCGTGGCACAGAAACGGCTGCACCGATCAACATGAAATGTGGTAGGACTGTAGATGTGTCTGACCTACACTGTGCCAGGCAGTGGTTTTACAATAGACCCCATATTTGGGAAGGGGGCTCCATCTAAAAAGGGGGTGTCTGGACATACAAAAATGCTTATAACTCAAAAATTATTCAACTTAAGTTTTTGTTGTTTTAGCTCTGATGAAGGGTTTTCCATCGGGCCCACCAATGAATCCCCCCGCCCCAAATAAATAAATAAAATAAAATTAAGTTACATTAATTTTGAGATGCACCTAGCAGCATTAACATTAGGTAGGAATATAAATGAGTTCAACCTACACTGCACCAGCCAACGGTTTTACGATAAGACTCCATATCTAAGCAGGGGACTCCATCTAAAAAGGGGGTGTCTGGACATACAAAATTGCTTAGAACTCAAAAATTATTCTACATAGGAGCTTCAGATTTTATTTTGTTGATTTATTTATTATTATTGTTTTTAGCTCTGATGAGGGGCTATCCATCGGGCCTGCCAATTAGCACACACACACCCTCTCCCACCCAGTTCTGGTGTGTTGGTGCTTTGCGGGGGTCATGTATGGCGTGGTATGAGGGCCAAAATTAAGACTAGCTGGTTGCGCAATAGTCTTAATTTTGGCCCTCATACCGCGCCGTAATACATACAGGTTCCAATATTTTCACTTAAATCTTTCATATTTTTTTAATGTCTGTTAACTTGTCAAGGCCCAGACCTGTTAACTTCTTGTTCGGGATCACGATTGACTCCAGTTGATAGTTTCTCTTTGCCACCATTAAAATAATTAATTTGACAGCACATACTGGACTGGCTCGTACTCACCAATCACCCTCAKATGAAAGGACTTTGGTTGGGATGTTCACAGACCACCAAGGCTCTATCCTGCTACAAACTGGAAACTGCTGGATCACTGGTGTGTTTGCACTGTAAGACCTGACCTGGCCACAGTTGGGATAATCATATCAAAAACACACCAGTACTTGTGGTGCGGCAATGTACTTCTCTTTGTTCTCTAGAATTCAAGACCATCTGAAACAGTGAGATGAGGTCAAATTGGCCCCAGCCTGAACAGAACCTCAGGTCTCTGGGTTCCAGAAATCAGGCTGGACGTGGSCCATAATGGCAAATACAAACAAGCAGAACCTGGATTTGAAACCAAGCCAGGCCTTACAATGCAAAGATGCCATTATTGTCCAAAGGGAAGCCATGAATATTTCCATGGACTGATACTGACAAAGAAGCCAATTCTTCCAACAGCTTGGTTGAAATTCCATGTCCATGTGGACAAAGCAAACACCTTCTCAAAGTACATACTCTTGGAAAAAGAATACACCCTAACAAAAAAAAAAGAAGACATAATACACAATTTTACTTATTTTGTCCCATAACTGGCCTATTTTCTTTTGAATTTAGCTCAGCCAAAGTGAAACAGGAAGTGACATCAAAGGGGAAATCTGCCTGTTTATTATATCATTTCAACTTTTAACTCTTCATCTTTCATTGATACTAAATATAAAGAAACATCAGATTCTTCTCTACAGCCTGTGTTGTGCTGTTTATATGCAGACATTCCCCTTTGACATCACTTCCTGTTTGATCGCATGCAAATATCTCAACAACTGTTCATCTCAGAGGTGTAAAATTTGTTTTGCAATATGTTATCAAGGTTATCTTTCCAAAAATGCATTCGTATTCTTAACAAGAAATTGATGTCACAGGTACTTTAAATTAGTTACTGTTGGAAAATATGGTGTGTAAGCCTTCTATTAATTGTTGAATTGATGTGGAACAAAAAATGTGCAAAGTAAATTATATAAAAAAGACTGCAGTAAAAGTATTACAATGTATTCAACCCCAACATATCCTGAATCCTTGTACAAAAGTAGATTGTTCAGTAAATAAATAAATAGGCAGAGAGCATAACTCCCCCACAGTTAGACCTAAAGTTACACCCTTGATAAACTGTCAAACATGGTGGTTGTATCATGCTGTGAAAAACTGCACAAATCAACTTTATGTCAAATTAAAAACTAGAAGACCAAAACTTTGACACAACTCTGATCCCATACACACCACTCTATTATTGTCATTAAAGATGATAAAATCATTTCACTCCATAAAAACAACAATCTRAATAMATCTTTGTAAACCTCAAATCAATTTGACATTCATGCTCATGATGAATTTACTCCTGACTTTACCTGTGGAAGGTTATTAACATTTACCTTTCCATGAACAGGCCCAGGTAAAATAAACCAGAGTCCCACCAGAGTACTACGAGCAGGGTTAGAGATTTATCAGGAAAATTTCAGGTCCTGTTTGAACCAGTTTCTGAAAATCCCAGTCGACCTGGTTACTGTTACTGCAACAACTTCTGCTGACCAGGATAAAAAAAAAGTGCAAGCATAGGATTTAGTTTTGGTTTTGACTGTGCTTGTGCAACAAGAAATATAAATAGCAGAGCAGAGAAATAAAAAGTTTATATTCCTGCCCGCTATACTGCATTTTGTACTGAGCAAATATATTGTCGAAGATGACACAAGAGCACCATCTAGTGGTCAAAGATTGAAGGTTTCTGTTTGATGTTTGAGCTAAAGTCCCGTATTTTCAAGCGATAATACCACAATAATCCTTTTAATTTCATGAATAGAATATAATCCAATCAATAAATAAAAATGAAGACTCGAAACATCACGACTTAATTTTCAAAACCCTAAACATCATGTTTTTTCCTGCTCTTTTGTTTTTGTAAGAACTCTTTCTTACAGAGAGACATGTTTACTGCTGTATTTCCGGACTGCTTTTGAACGCGCCACCAACCCACGTGYTACGTTTCCATAGTCACGTCACATCGCCTCCACCATGTTGAAGGAAATCTGCAGCTGACTGCTCTTTACTTGCTGTCAGATTAGAGTTTAATCCGGGGAGGAGGACGCTCTGTCAAGACGGTACCTGAACCTTGGAAGGAGTGCCTCCATCTGTGCGCACGAAGTAAACCCATTCTGCGAGTTAATTTAATTTTTTCAAACAAATATTAAGGCAAACAAGATGAGAACAGGTCCTTCTACTTCTGCTTCTCCTCTGACTTACCGGTGATAAATTAAGATGTTAGCTGGCTAACTAGCTGTAAAGGAAGAACTAAATCCGATTAGCTGCTTAACGCCATTTGGTGATTTATAAATAGAGATATGTGTTGTTTTTAAAACTATTATTACTTGATAATTAGCATAGCAGATAATTAGTAGTTAATTAGGTGCTAGCTTGACCGGCTAGCTGGACTGAAGCAACAAAACCAGTAAAGTGAGAGCAGCCTCCAGGCAAAGCAAGAATGTCAGGAAAAGATAAAGACAAGGAGAAACAGTCCACCACAGATCGGCTGATTAAAGGTAAGTCTTTACASTGCTCCACACTTTATGTGTTATTATAATAATGTTTAATTGCAAACCACCTGTAGCTGTTAAAATGTGCCATCTTTAAACTAAAGTTATAAACAAATCCTTTCAATGTTTCATGATGCTGGCTTGGATGTGTTCTACATGAGGAGCTTGAGTCAGAGCTGGTGTCTTAATGTCAGGCAGGTTTTACCCTTTGGCAGTATAAGTCTTTACCTGAACACCTAGCACTTTTCACATCTTCATTTAAAACCTTGCCAACCCTGTTAACAAAATATCTCATGAACTACTGGATAGATTTTAATGGAACTTTTAGAAATTGGTTAATTGGATTAATTGATCATATTTGGAGTCAATCCAATTAAAATGGCTGCTACAGTCAGCTGACTTTGGTCTAGACAAAAGGTCAAACTCAGTGATGTTGACACATGTTGTGCTAAAGTTTGGTATGGTCWTTGACAACACTTACTCTAAGTGTAAACAGATCAGGTTAGAGTCACATGAGGCTGCGCAGAATGTTATTTTATAGATTAAACCACAACAGCTGTTACTATTATTTCTCATAAAATTATTTTAGTTTTA